AAATATGTCCACCCATTTATGACCCACTAAAAACTGGCTCCAAATCACCCCTGAGCTCCCTTCCGCTTCATTTCTACCTCATTTAGGTATTGGGATCAGTTGATTAAGGGCCTCTTTGAGTTCCAGTGCCCTCTTATGAGAAGTACCTCTATTACCTTGGGAAATGCCTCTCGCTAATTGTCATTTCTTTTTAAATTGATTCTCCCGCTTTCTTTATTCTCAATTTAGTGCATCTGCTCTCCTTGTCAGATTTAAATACTTAATGGTGCTTTAACTTTTCATCAAATATTTGTAAACAAAAATTCAAAGGAGAATTCTATTCTAAGCCATCTGTAAATATATATATATAATAACATGATTTTGTGGTGGAGATTTTTCTTCACCGCTTTACCATGTCAGTAAAGTTCCACCGCCTCCCAAATTTAAGGGAGGAAAAGGAGAGAAATTCGGGTGTAAAAAAATGAAGAAGAAGAAGGAGACAGTGACAAAAAAAGGAAAATCTAAGGTATTTTTTTTTCTTTCTTCATTTATCTAATTAGTTTCTAATATTATAGTGATGATGATGAACAAGTTTGATTTTAGTAATTTAATATATATTAAGATTTTATAGAAGAAAAAAAGGAAGAAAAAAGTACTAACCTAGATCTGAGGGGGTCTTGTCGCCGGTCTCTCCTGGTCGCCAGCGGCACCCTGTCGCCCTCTTACCTCCATTACGAGAGAGAGAAAGAAAGTGAGGCCTTATACTATCCAACCGAAAAAAAGAGAGAGAGAAGAGAGGAACGAAAAAAAGAGAAGAAAAGAAATAAAGAACGGAGAAGGAAGATGAGCATGTGTAGACAAATAAGGGGAGGAAAATTTATCAAAACCCCTAAGTTATTTTAATTTTGCCTATAAACCCTCCACTCAATTTGTGACCTAAAAATTCATTCTAAAGTCCCTAGAAGCCATAAAATTTTGTAAGTAAACCCTAACAGAGAAAGCTAAAATCACATATGAATAGGATAATTACGTATAGACCCTTGTTTTTGCTTTGTTTATAAAAAAGTCCAATCTGAAGAATAAAAGTCAACTTTTGGGATTGATAAATTCTCTATAACCCACTGCCTTATCATAAATTACTAGGAAGTCCAAAAACTAGTATATGAGAGTTATAAAATTTTGATAAATTGCTAAAGTTAGCAATAAACTCATTTGTACCCAAGCTTTTAATTATTATTGATTATATTTGAATTTATTTGGCTCTAGATTATGAATTGATTTACTATAATATATGTTTATCCTGAATTAATAATTAGTCTTATATCTTATATTATAGGATCTAGTTGATATCTAGGGGAAATAATATTTTGAGGAAATCGTGTCCACTGGAGGTGAGTTCATTTCTCACTAGTATTTTTATAATATGAAATTGCACGAGTGTTATGTTT